AGTTCAGTCTGTTAAAATTATTTAATGCACAATTCCTCTTGAGGTCGCCACTGCTTTTATGAAGAGGTTGCCAGGTTTTCATAACAAAACCCGCCCAATCGCGTTTCGAGGGGTCTACGTTAAAAATCGCGTTCCGAGGATAAAATATGCATGTTTTGGCGGGGTTTCCCTGGAAAAATTCCGCACGGTTATAGTGAATATAGAATATTTAGTCTGTGCTTAGAATCCACCATGCCTTTATATGGTTGTTTTTACTTTTATTGCTTGTTTTATGTGATCATAAATATTACATAGGAATTCACAAACTAAAGTGCCCTGTTATTTACTACAGTTTTAATACAAGGTTTATTGTATTGTAGAATAATGTGTCCTAAGATGACAAATTAATCACAACGTTGTTGCATGCTATCTAGTGCCTCTATTGCATCACAGGTTGTTACCAAAATGTGTTAGATATAGGTTCTCTCAGCCCAAGCGTTGATAAAGGGTGATGGGGGGACAGTGGTGGGATGGAGGGGGCTGGGATTGGGCCAGACGTGGAGCTTCCCTGGGAAGAGTCCAGCTGGAGGCGGGAGTGTACTTGTGGGGGTTAAAGTTGGATTCTCTATGGAAGTAGAAAGCCACTTTTGCTCTGTGTCTCGCTGTCTTTCACTCTCCTTCTCCAAATATATATACATAACACACACTCATACAGACATAGATGCATGTATATCGCCTGATGCTACCCTTCCTCTGTCCCGCACAGCAGGGGCCAGGGAACGGAGGGGCGTGTGGGGGGATGGAAGGGGTGACGCGAGCAGGAGGCAAATATTTTCCAGAGTTAACGCAGAGGACTGCAGGGGGGATGAATTAATGAACACCCACCACATGGTCAACTATGAGAGAGAGAGTGAAAGAGAGCGAGAGAGATGGTGGGATGCAGGGGGCATCGGGTATGATGAGAAAGCGCGTGAGTAGAGAGTGATGGAGAACACAGAAATTCCAAAGAAAGAAGATGAGTAAAGTATGTAATGTCTTTTAGTTGACCTACATTGTTTTCCCATTGTCTTGACCATTGTGTAACTCGGGTGTGAACATTAAAAAGCATTCTGTTTAGATATGTGAGCTTACAGTACATTACACTTTGAATAGGCTGCGTCTCTGTTCCCTATCCATACCACCGTATCTTCGCTCACATTCACATAGTTAACGGTGCAAGTGATAGTTCTCGATGCTTTTGTTTCATCCAAACAATTATGTCATTGTGTCCCAGAATGTGAAGGGAATAACCTAGACCTTTGCGGATTCTAACCTCAGAGGTCCGTAGAGACTTGGTACGGGGCTTGTCGTTGGTTGAGGAGAATTTACAATGGAGTTGTGTGACCTGCTCAAGTACACACAGATGCAGATACACACGGCACAGTGACCTACATGAACTGGGAAGGGCCCAGGATCCTCAGGCTGTTCCCATGCTGAAGACTGTGGGGACTCTGTATCTGGTTTTAGTCAGCATCTCACACTCATTGGCTCTTACACACTTTTGAAGTTTAGTTGAGGTGTTGTTTCATTGCATCCTCATGTTGCTCCAAAGCTGTATATGTTTCTATGTTCCGTGGAACACAAAAGATGAATATTTAGAGAATATCCTGGACTTTCTTTTTAATGCAATAAAAATAACAGGACTGGAGCTGTCAAGCTTTAAAATGCTATAAAAAATATTCCATATGATTCCACTGTATTGCAAACCTTCTATAATAGTGTGAGGAAAAGACCAAAAAGTAAATCATTATTCACTGAAATTCTTGACTGTCTTGCTGTTTGGGGGTTTGTGAGAATGGAGAAATCTGCTATAATTTGAGTGAAATTTTGAGTTAGATATTTACAATGAATCGGTTGATGTAATTTATAAAACCCATCTCAATGATTTGTCCATTAATTAAACTGATTTGTTTCTCAAATTTAACTCACTGACAGTTAACAACTTACTGGAAGGGAAGAACTCCAGTAAATACAAAAATAACTGATACTTTATGGTAGAGCCCGACCGATATATCGTTTTGCTGATTTTATCAGCCGATATGAGCCTGTGGCAGATGTATCGTCAAATATGCCGCCGATATGCCACTGATATGAAAATATTTGTACAGAACATAAAACAGAGATAAAATGCTTGTATATTATGTAATTACTTAGTTTGTCCAGCTGAGCGCGCTCCAAATTCGGAGGATCCCTTCAGCTCGAGGAACCCTCTCGAACGCCGAATCGAGTCTACTTCTCGAGGCCCCCTTTCAAATGAGACCACCCCGTGTCGTTAGCCTCCGGGGTCCGGGAGTTACGGGTGGTTAAATTCGCAGTCGGGCGCCGACCGATCTGGTGATCCCGGTGGGCTACTGACGCACGGAGGGTGGCGTTCGAGAGGGCTCCTCGAGCTGAAGGGATCCCCCGAATTTGGTGTAGATCTGCCGCTGCGTTCGCGAGATAGTAACTCCAGCCAACACTTTCACTTCAGTAAGGAGGTCTCTTGTTTAGGCAGAGACCTAAACAAGAGACCTCAAGCGTTGTCTTATTCGACCGTAAGTGGTCTTCACATGATATTCCGCCATGATTCCAGTTCCAAGGGAACGTACACGTTTCATTCAAAGGGCATTAAAGTGCGTGAGACGTGAATTTAAATTGTATTTATTTACAGAGGTATATTATGTCACACTTCACACTTCTTAAGTTTCGTCTGTGTGAAGAAAGTAGCGCAAATCCGTGAATGAATGTTTCTAAGTGAAATAAACAAACAGAATAAAGTTGAATGGAATTTAATTTAAAAGTATGAATAAACTTCAACTTTACTGTTCAGTGCACTGATGTCAGACACATTTTGGATAATAAAGTTTATTGTTAAATTGTTAAATGCCCTGCCTCCATTACATATCTTTGTCATGTCATTATAAGTGTTTGATCACCATATTTGAGTGATCATTGCAAAAAAATATGTTTATGTGTATATATATTCTGTTTATATATATATATACTGTATTCTATATATAGTACCAGTCAAAAGTTTGGACACTTTTGACTGGTACTGTACTATAATATACACAAAGAATATCGGACGATATATCGATATCGGCCCTTTTTCCTCCCTAATATCGGTATCGGCCCCCAAAAAACCCATATCGGTCTGGCTCTACCTTATGGTGCTTTTGTTTGCTTTTTGAGAATTGAATAATCGTTCCGTCTCATCCTGAATCTGTTGTCCATTTTTGTCTTAATCTGTTCCCCATTATCTATCGTTGTTAACTGAGGTGAACTGATACAGCATCTCTCCCCACTCTCTCTCACTCCCCCTTTCTCCTCCCAGTGCCTCCCCTCTTCTGCTTTCCTCCTCTCTGTTTTTGTGGATGTCTAATGAAATCCCATGTGAAATGGACAATTGTTGCTCTGAGATTATTTATAGACATAAATAAGCAGCCTTGTTGTTTGTTTTCAATCCCTGCTTAAAAAATAATTAGTTTGAAGCAGCGTAGGAGAAAAAAAAAAAGACTGAGGCAGAACGCTGAAGCACATGTCCAAACGGCACATATGAGATGATCAGCAGCATCTGAACTGCTCATTGATCATCTTTGGCATTTTGTATACATTTACACTACCATGTTGACACAATGAACACTGTTTGTTCTGCAGTGTTCCCTTTACATACATTTTTAACTATTTTTATTCTGGTTTTTATTTGAGTGGAAATGCAGATTCATAGTGTCTTTCCATAATCTTAAGTAATATGAAACAAGGAAATTCTTATTTTTTTTGTTTTTTAATTATATAAAATTATATTATTTATTAAAAAATATTAAACTGATACTATTATTAATATACTACTTAAGTGTAGTTTAGAAGCCTTTGTGATTTTACTCTGGTAATGAGTGGTCTCTGTGGTTTTACCTGTGGTTACTATGGTCTTCAAATAAATTATGGCTATGCTGGAACTTTGCCAGATTTTCTCAAGCATTAGGCTATAATTGACTAATTGACTAATGTCAAAACATAATATGCAAACTAACAGGCAGTTTTTAATGTTTTGTGGGCAAACTGCAAAGTGAATGTGACTGGCTTTTATGTGTTCATCCTTATGTAAAACTGCATCCTTATTCCTTTAACGCATTGGACCTGGGTGGGTGGCATACACTATAGCTGCCTTATATGAAGAAAAGATGTGCTGAATGTGAAAAACGAGTTCCATTGTTCATTGTTGCCACCACATTACAGACTTTACAACATCTTTTATAAATTTAGTTCTACTGTCAGACTCAATCCCCCACAAAGAAAGCGATGTCAAAGCGCGCACGTGGCGCTGTCAGCGACAGTAGCAGAACTCCGACAGAAGCGTCTGATTTTTGATTTGAATTTCTGTTTTTGTTTCTCACCTGTTTCATCCCGGGGACCCCGGAAGCGCAGTTTCTTTTCGACGGCGGTCTCAGAGCTGTCAGTCAGCGGGCTGTCTCGCTGTCGAACTGAAGGCAGACTGCATAAATAATGACAATGCCGTTAAATAATACACGGCGGTGGGTTACCAAGGCCTCTGTGCACCCGCTATCATGCAGCGACGCAGGACTCTGCGCAATGTAACGGCAGCATTTTCATTGGCAGCTTTTGTTTTTGTCACTTTTGTCTTGAGTTTTAAGTGACAAACTCTCAGAAAAAAAAATGACTGGAAGGCAACCCAGGCACTGATCCTTTAAGGACTAAATTGCGAAAAGCATGGCCTCTGCTCAGGTTATCACTTTTTTTTCCCATTCTCAGATAACAAGTGTTTTGTTTTGACTAAGTTTGTGTTGTGATGTGTGGATATTATCAGGAGTTTAAAGCCAGTTTTGAGAAAAGTCTGATTCAATGTGATCAGAATCCAGCACATTTTCGATAATCCGGTCAATTTTCTTGGTCTTTTTTTTTCTCTATCTGAAGTTCAGGAGAAAAGAGCCTTTACAATTGTTGAACTGTGTGTGTATGTGCTGATGTAATCCTATATTTTACAGGTGAACAGGGGGCTATCACCATGTTTCCTCTCTTCCTCCTGGACCACCACATGACAGCCAGAGAGCTCGGGGTGTGGAATGGGGTGGTTGCCATGGCGTTTTCCATCTGCGGCTCATCAATTGGGGGCTTCTTGCTCTCTCAGTACAGGTAGGGAGTGTTTTTTTTTTTTCTTATAAAACGATGGTGAAACTGAATCAGTTCTAGCTGCAACACCCTTTCCAGCTAAGTCACGCTTTGCCATTAATGTTGCAGGAATGGCATCGAAAGACTTTGTTCTTTGGATTTCTCCTTACACCTTTTTCAATTCCCCCTCTTGCTTTATCGGTTTCTGTGGCCCACCATCTCTCTGTGAAAGAAACGTGGCCCTTTTCTTTTTCTCAGTGTTTTCTCACTATATCTCTCCACCCATCTCGGCCCCAGGTGTGAAAGAAGGAGAGAAAAAGAGATAGAGAGTGTGTGTTAGAGATAGAAAGAGAGATTGAAGTAATGGAAGTAAACACAGCCTTTTGTGGGAGCTGAGAGTAAAACAGGCTCAGGTGTGAGCTGAAAGGCCTCCAGGATGCATAAAGTTGGCCTGCTTGAATAGAGATATACTTGTTGCTGATACGTTGCCCTTGTCTACTGACCTGAGACCGGTTTTTACCAGTTATGTCTTTTAATAAAGATAAGAGTTTGGTTGCCTAAACTGTTCCAAGAGCAGCTGAAGTCGCTTATCTTCCTCGAGCGGTATTGACTATAGACCCACACACCTGTTAGTGTGTTCAGAGAAAGGCACGAGGAAGAGGATTTTGGAGAAAGACATATGCAGTGGTTCTGTCTTTATTTCTTGAGGGCAGACATCCAGTCATGAATCAGAGTTTAAAGTGAAATGATACTCTTCATACTGGACATGTGCTATTTTCTCCAGGCCGGTTTGCTTTACCTTATGGCATCATGAAACAACATGCATTTTAATGCAGTTTTACAAACCACTGGAATGCATTACATGAGCTTCTGCGCTTTAGTTAAACTTTAGTTAAAATGATGTAATGTTGGTCGATTAAAAGACTAAGAGTAACGTCACCCTTTGTCTACTGCCTCTGTGAACTACAATTCTCTAACCATCTAAACAAGTATTAGTCAGTGAGGTGATGCAAACATAATCTAGGTAATTTGATCCGGACCACAGATTGATTTCATTCTGACCACAAATCATTTTTCTTTCGTTTATATATGCTACTGTTCAAAAGTTTGGGGTCAGTTAATTTTTTTTAATTTTGAAAGAAATGAATACTTCTATTCAGCAAATATGCATTAAATTGATCTAAAGTGACAGTAAAGACATTTATAATGTTAAAAAAGATTTCTATTTAAAAAATGCTGTTCTCTTGAAAATATTAGCAGCACAACTGTTTTCATCATTGATAATAACAAGAAATATTTATTGAGCAGCAAATCAGCATATTAGAATGATTTCTGAAAGTTCATGTGACACTGATGACTTGAGTGTTCTATTATAAAATTATAATAAATGTATCAAATTAAAATAAATAAATTATAATAAAATTGAAAATAGTTATTTTAAATTATGACAATATTTCACAATTTTACATTTCAGTCTTGATGAGCATAAAATAAAGTTTAAAAATGATTTAAAAAATCTTACTGACCCCAGACCTTTCAAAGGTAGTGTTTGGTATTATTATTATTATAAAAAATAAACAGTGGTTTTTTCTCCACTGAGAATAGCTAAGGTATCTGTAAACTACAAAAGCGACACAGAAGCTGAACCAAGATATACATGTGCATCACAGGTACTTCTCCCATCACTGTTATTCCCCGTGATCACTAAATTGAAAATGCGAAATGTTCATTTTAAAGAGAATTTGAATACAGCCAAACGAAGACTCTAGCCCAGTATTTAATCAATTTTACAAGAGGTACAGTCTCTAACTTTCCTTCAGAGCAAATATCCGAGCAATCACAACTTGCACTGTTTCAGCAGTACATAAATTTTGCGCATAAATGAACAAGCCTTCCAAATACCAGGTGAGTGGGACAGATACTAAAACATATGGTAAAATCACAATCAGAGTTAAATATCTGCTCAAATTTTCTTACCTCTCCTTTTCTCCCCCTCTTTTTTCCCTTTCTCTGTAACCTCTCCCTCTCTCTCGGTTCCTTCATCTTTTTTTCATCTTTTTTCTCTTGTTTAGTCTCTCTCTCTCTTTCTCTCTCTCTATGCTACAGGCAGTGTTAGTGAATGGGGAGGAATGTAAAGTTTCACACGCAGGGGGCTTGTTCATTCGACACCGTCGTGCATTCAGGCCTTGCTTCCCACAGATTGGGTTTCTGCCGTTGTCTGTTCAGGGCCACTAAAAGCTAATTTGGACACTTATCCCAGCCCCATCTGAAACGCTTGAGTGGCCAAAAACTGACCCCCATACACTGATCGCCATCAGCAATCTGAGAGTACGAATCTTATCGGGTCTAACTGCTCGTGTGATACGCCTGTTTTAGACTTGTTTTCGATCTCTCGCACCCTTCTCTCTCTAACTTGCTGGTTTTCCTCTTTAAGACTGTCTGTCTTTCTTACAGCTCTCTTTCTCTCTCTCCTCTCATCTGAGTGAAATATGAAAGAGTGTTGTTGAGTGGATGCAGGGAGGGTGTTTGCATGAGAATGATGGCAGATTGGCTTTCTGTCTGACCGGCTGCTGTTGTTGACTGGGTTCATCTAGATCTAAAAGGCTGGTTTAAGATGACAGACGATTCCTTACTCTTCTCTTAAAGTCCAGTTGACCTTTACCCGCATCTCCTTCTCTCTTTTTCCACTCGCTTTCTCTGTCAGAGGCCTCAGAGTCTATTCACATGGAAAGGACGTTTATGTAAAGACACAATTTTTACTAATTTAATTTTATAGTTTAACAAGTTAAACTAATTTTCATGCAACAGATCCTGTCACCAGAGCTGTCTGACCACTTTAAAGGGGTCATATGATGCTGCTAAAAAGAACATTATTTTGTTTACATGTAGTCTTTTCAGAGAATATGATGTAAAATTATGTTAACTGTTATGCATTACTGATTAAAAATATTAGATGTGAAAAGAAAGACTGTAGAAGCCATGACTCCAGACCCTGTGTTTGATTGACAGGGCCCTCCGGGTGTTCTGATTGGAGCTGGGAGATATTGAGGGGTGTGATGGTCACTAATTAGCGGGGGGTTAATCAGCCCATGGCTGTGGATCTTGTAGCGTTATTGATTATGTCGTGAAGGAAGGTCCCCTGAGGGATTCTTAACTGTTATTAGAGAATCGATTCGAGTGTGTAAGCAAACACACACTGCATGTAAGTGTTTTTCTCTCTCAGTGTGGCAGTCATATGTGGTTGACCCTCATTAATGTCCTGCAATGACTGATCTGTAAATTAATAGCCTTTAGCTTGCTGTGGTATATATTTTGTCTTGTTGATGTTATATTATATTGCACTACCATTCATAATTTTGGGGTTGGTAAGAAATCTCTAATGCTCACCAAGACTGCATTTATTTGAGAAAAAATCTAGTAAAAACAGTAATATTGAGAAATATTATTACAATGTATAATAACTGTTTTCTATTTGAATATATTTTAAAATGTAATTTATTCCTGTGATGGCAAGGCTGAATTTTCTGCAGCCATTACTCCAGTCTTCAGTGTTACATGATCCTTCAGAAATCATTCTGATATGCTGATTTCCTGCTCAAGAAATATTTCTTCTTATTATTATTATCATCACTGTTGAAAACTGCTTAATATGTTTGTGGTACATTATTAAGTACCACAATCCCCCCCCCCTATAAAATAGAAAATATAATTTTTTGTAACATTATAAATGTCTTTCCTTCTCACTTTGGATTAATTTAATGTGTCCCCAACAAATAATAGTATTAATTTCTTAAAAAAATTGAACTGTGGTGTATATTACATGACATTGCATTACATTATATTGTATATTTGTGGAGTTTGAGATAATATAAGTGGACTTTCTCTCTTTTATGTCCTCAGTATTGGCCTGCTGATGAGACGTGTGTTTATGATGAGGACTGTCAGCATGGTCTTCCAGAGCTCACTTCTCGTAGTGCTGGAGCCCTCGGCCTTGATGAAAGGTGAGAAATGCACGTACCTGTACACACTAAAGTATACAAACATGGTGATGTACCAGCATTGGTATTAGTGCAGACTTATATTATTTTATTTTATTTTGAAATTCAATATGGTGCCGCTCATTATGCAGTAATTGCACTTCATTGGTCCACTGCTTTGTAAATAAAAGGAAGGGAGAAACTAAACACACATCAAAATGTTTATTACTGCCTTGTACATCTTGTGGGTACAGTTTGTTCATAAGAGCCAGATAGCTCACCTGTACGTATGTGTATATATAGAAGTGAAATCGACCTGTTCTCTTCTGAACGGAGCTTTCTGAGCTTTCTGCTGTTCCCCTGCATTTAAGCATCCATGGGGCCATCTCTGGTTTCCAACGTTTTCCACTGACAGGCTAAAGTGGCCATTTCAGCACCTTGCACAGAGTAAACAGGTGTTAAGGCAGAGTGTGTCTGAATAAAACTCTAAACGCTGCGTTATACAACAGCATGTGATAAAGAGGGAGAGTAATAACATGAATGTCATTCAGACCAGCATAGAGTTCATCTCGCTGTGTGGTGAAATCAGAATAGAAAAGTATAAATCAAAAGGTGATGTTTGAGATTATTTAAATGTTTTTTTTCTAAAACATAGTGTTTAATTTTGTAATTTAACTATAAATAAAATCCAGATGGGTAGGATAAGACATTTGCAGTCTTTATATGACAGAATTTATTTATCATCAAAGCTCAATGTGTATGTAAAATATATATATATATATATATATTTTACATACACATTGAGCTTTGATGATAAATAAATTCTGTCATATAAAGACTGCAAATGTCTTATCCTACCCATCTGGATTTTATTTATAGTATATATATATATATTTTTTTTTATTTTTTTTTTTTTTTTTGGAAACAATGAGATCATCAAATCACAATGGCAAAAACTTCTTTGGTACTTATGTGACAATTGGAGAAAGTTTTTTATTATAAAGTTATTTTTATATTTTAACATTCATTTTTTATATATATATTTATTTTTTATAGAATATTTATGTATATTCAAATAAAAAAAAAGCAAATATAATTATCTATATATCTGATATTAGCTGATATCGCATTTGGTCTCATTCTGTATCGCATATCTTGTCAGTGTCTGCGCTTGCTTGGCCATTTGTTGTGGAAAAAATAAGGAAAGTGTGTTCAAGCACCAGCAGAAAACAGTGTAAAGAAATACTCTTTGAGAGAAGCAGTCTTTATCAGCGGAAGTTAAAAGCAGCTCGTAAGT